AAAAAACCTCAAGGGAGAGATCCTGGGGGAGAAGCAGCTCTCTCTCGGGTTGACTACTCCCCCATAGCCATGAGTCACCTTCTCAGGGCTAAGTCATTAGCTTCATGAAGGTATTGCTCTCTGCCAGTCCTCATGTCGGGAGGATCTCACCATGGTGGGCGAGAGTCATGTGTCGGTCCACCACATGACAGCGGGGCCCACCATACATTTAGCTCCTAACTTAAAAAAAAAAAAAAAATCGAGTTCACAGGGAGGGGAAACCGCACCTTCGGGAGCAGGAGGAGAGTGAGAGGATGGGAGACTACTTGGAAACCTTGAAAACATGGACAATGCATCAGCTGCAAGTATTGGAATCTCGTCGCTTTGACAACCGTTGGAGTGCTGTTGCCCAACCAAGTTACTACGAGGAGTCCTATCAGTGGAGTGTTTCTGCCCAATCATATCATTATGAGGCGCCCTACTACGCCCTGGACAATGGAGATTACCATCCCCCAGCCTCATGATGGGAATCAGAAGACCAAGACCCAAAGTTACCTCGATGACCAAGGCTGCACTACTCCAGAAATGGTTATCCTGCAACCTGGCCTCTTCATCTACCACCAGAATGGAGCAGTTCAACCGCCTACTGTGAAGGGGCCTCCGTATCCCATGGACCATGAAGTAAATCATCACCAGTCTAGTCACAGAGGTAACCAACCAACTCCTACTCTTTGGAAGTCTAATTCTGCATGCGACCCATTTGTGGAAGAGCCGGCAGAGAACACCTCATACTGCAACTCTGCCCCTACGAGGACCAGTGCCCGTACACGTGGCACCAAGAGGAACTGGAATTGGAATTGGGAACAGTGGAATTGGAAAAACACACCAGCACCTATCTGCCTGGGAAACCAGTATAATGAAGAGATGGAGTATGTGGACGCGGATGGGGAGGTCGTGGAAACTCTTACTGATCGAGACACATCGAGTTTCTCGCCGCCAATCTCAAAAGAAGAGCCTGCTGAGGAGCACAACCATTTGGACCCTAAAGAGCTAAGCAAGGGCTGACGGGAAGAAAACCAATTCGGGGAATGGAGAATTCCACGGTCGCCCAAGCAATGCTTCCACAACAAATGGACAGAGGGGGAAAATAAGAATTCAGAAAAAGAAAAAACGAGATAAGCGAGGTAGCAAAGGAAAGGAATGTCCTAATCTCCACCATCACAGACAACAAAAACCACCAGCCAAATCCTACCCAAGGCTCCTGTCAAAAAGGAGTCAAACAAAAAGGAAAAGGAAGGGATTTATCTGGATCACCTCTAGGACACCATTTCCACTGCTCTCATCAACAAAATTCTACAAAAAGAAGACAGAATATTCACCAAGTGCCCATCTGATCCCAGGAAACCTGGACCATGACGTCAGGAGGAGTGAAGAGAGATGAGGCGTATGGTAAGGCCCTGCCGGCCAGCTGGCACTCATTTGTTGTTTCATTCCTCTCTTGTCAAGCTGCAATGATTGTTTCTCAATAAAAAAAAAGTCGAGTTCACACCCCATCTAGGGCAATTTGATCTTCTCCACCCCTTACATCTTTGCAGCCAAAACTACCCTAATCGCTGCTATCCCCCACCAATTATGGTAGCTCAGCATTAATCGTAGGATCTCTCTCTTTTCAGCTGATCCGCTTTATTAAACAGCTATCCTCTCTACCTATCGGGACAAGCAGGGACAAGCCTGATAATGTTTTTCTTAACAGCTGGCACCTGTTAATCCCAAGTAGCTCTCGGGGCACCTGATAGGTACCTAAAACTGGGCGACGGAAGAGAAGGATAAGGGGAATCCTGTGGACATCGTCTACCTAGATTTCGCGAAAGCTTTCGATACTGTTCCTCACAAGAGGTTGCAGGTTAAACTGGAGGCGCACGGGATCCAGGGTAGGACGAGCAAGTGGATCAGTAGCTGGTTGGCAGGAAGAGAGCAACGGGTGATGATAAATGGGGAAGTGTCGAAGGAGGTCGGAGTCGCAAGCGGTGTCCCTCCAGGCTCGGTCCTTGGACCGCTTCTGTTTTTGGTTTACATAAACGATTTGGATCTCGGCGTAGAGGGTAAGATGAGTAAATTTGCCGACGACACCAAGATAGGTTTTACCATAAGGGGGGAGGCGGATAGGGCTAGAGCCGAGCGAGATTTAAGTCTTTTGGACGAGTGGAGCAAGAAATGGCTCATGAGGTTTAATAAAAGTAAGTGTAAAGTTCTCCACGTCGGTCGAAACAACGGTAGGTCTCTCGACACGTTCGGCGATGTTAAATTGGATGAGGCAAACGGAGAGAGAGATTTAGGAATTTCTATCGACGAGGACCTCAAGTTTTCCTCGCACGCGCAAGCGGCGGTGGACAAACGCAACAGGATTCTAGGTTACATTCGTCGGTCGGTTGCGAGTAGGACATCGCGCGTTATTCTTCCGTTGTATGCGGCGCTGATAAGACCCCAGTTGGAATATTGCATCCAGCTTTGGAGGCCTACAAATAAGGGCGATTTGTTGGCGCTCGAGGGAATACAGAGGAGGATCACAAGAATTATTAAGGTCAGGAGACTATCATACGAGAAGCGAGCGAAGGTTAAGGAGGGGCGATCTCATCCAGGCTTTCAAGATAATTAAAGGAATAGATAATGTCGAGTGTGGTAGGTTTTTCCAGTTTGATGGCAGCAAGAGAACGAGAGGTAACCAACTTAAGTTGCGCAAACCGCAGGTGCGGCTCAGGTCGAGACAGGAATTCTTTACTTGCAGAGTGGTGAACGCGTAGAATGCGTTAGATGACGAAGGCTGCCCCTTCTGTGACTATCTTTGCTTACATGGACATGTAAGCAAAGATACATGCTTACATGGACAGGCAAAAAGGTGGGGGGCAATGTTGACGTTAGGTACTAGACAGTAAGCAACTAGGATAGTAAAAAACAAAAATATTTAGCTTTAAGAGGGTTAGGCCCAAGGCCGTATTTAGGGGGGGTTCATGGGGTTCAAACCCCCCCCCTCGAAATATCTTCCTTAAATGTTTGCCATACTTATATTCGTCGGTTTAAACGGTGCAGTACTTGGTCTTTTCTATCTTTAATAGCTTATGACTTATTAAACACTGCAACGTACAGGAAAGTTTAGATATGTCACAAAGACTTAAAATGATAAATATAAAAAAAATAGCCACAGCGCCTACGCCAGACCTCAACCCCCCCCCCCAAAATGAAATCCTAGATACGGCCCTGGTTAGGCCTACCCTAAAATTAAGGAATGCTCGACCTCGACACGTGATATCGAAATGGGTGAAATCGCCTCTTGATATCACTATCTTGAATCTTGAATTAGCTCCTATTCTTTATATTAAAAAAAGGTCGAGTTCACATCTTCTCTACTCACTGACAAAAATTGATTCTAATCGTCGTGTCTTCATTTCTGGGGTAAGTTGGAACATTCTTCTCGCAGGGGAGGAAAGGGGAAGTCCCAGGTAGCATACTCTACTGGGATGCAGGTGGGAAAGACGAGAAAGTCAATGGATTTTCAAGTGGAAATGTCACTCATCTGCAGCTGGGTAGCAGCAGAGAAAATAGAAGAGAAGCACTGCTGTAACTCTGCTGTGATCCAGCCGTGTTGGAAGCATATGCTCTGTTGATTTCTAGTTTTTACTTTTTACTTACCTTCAGTTACTTTCTAGATTTTTGGTGTCATTTCTAGGAAATCTATCATACATTTTTCCGGTACTGCACACACTGTAGCTACTGAAACTCAACTTATGAATAATAGTACACGTCGTTCCAATACTGGTCTCATTTCAATGACTGATGACTGCAGAAAGAGGTTGTTGTTCAGCAGCGAAGAGCAATGACCACTTGCAGAAGTGGGGGCACTCCATTAACCCCATTAACTCCATTCTTCCCATCTCAGACCTGGTTACAAGTCAACAATGCCCACGACGCCTGTCTTCGTAAAGCAGGATCGTTCCTGGAATTCTACGTTAAGAGAAACCTCAAATCTGTCCGCAAAGACTCGCCTGTGTATCATGGCGGTTCAACTCGAAGCGATACAATTGGACACGATGCAATCCGTGCAGCCCATCCAATGCGAAAGATGAAAATAATCCATTATTATCGACGAAAGAGGACCTCTGTACCTACTCCATTACAATCACGAACCAGTGTCTAAATTTAATGCAGTATTACAGAAAGTATGCAGTTCAAAATCGCTTCTTCGATAAAGAGGGTATTTTCTCGTGGAATAATACAGCATTATCGGATAGTACTCAGTTCAAAAATCCACTCTTATTTACTTTCTGACCATTAGGTGTACACCATTAGCGGTGGTGTCAATCAAGGCCGCATCACGGGATTCTCTGCTGCACACCAGGTAACTTACCTAATTTGTTGAATAATTCTGACAATACACCATCAAAAATGCACTCTTATGGAGGAGGAGTCTGAGGAGTCTGCCGAGGGAGACATTGTTCATGGTTGAGGCGTCTGCATCTTCTCAACCACAAATAAACCTTTCTTCAATATCTTTATATGCTCATGTAACAGTGCAAGGAGGATCGTCTTCTGACGTGAATTGGCACAATCATGAGTCTGCACCAGATAATACTCCAGCTTCATGGATAAGAGTTGGTGTAAGACTTGGCAAACTTGGGACCGAAGTACGAGTGAGACATCCAACTCGGACCGAAAGACGACTTGGGGCTCGAGCGGGAGTCCAAGACAAGCAGTTTGTACGACACGCTCCAACATCCAACTTGGACCGGATCGATCGCAGACGAGGCCTTCCTCAATGTCCCACAACGCAAATTTGCGAAAATGCACGCTGAATGATCCACATGCTTCTCTGATGTCGTCGAGCGTGAACCGCACCACATCGTTAGGGTTTCCTTCCACCACAAAACCGTATTCCAACAGGAGCTTCATGTTATCGTGCGGCCCGTAGTTGATGAAGACCTGCCGACCGCACGAAAACGGACGGTCGATCGTCAAGAAATACCCCCTTTCCGAGGAGAATCCGGCCCTAGTCTGCACAAAAGGGCTGTGGTTGAAAAGATCCAGGTAAGGGACGAGGGCGACGGTGTCGTCGAGACTGACCACCCTGGTGTTAACTGTGAACCACGTCCATTCGAATTCCCACCTGGCGAACGAAATATCTAATGCAGATCTCAGTAGACCGAGAGAGTTGTCGATCTCCTGCCTCTGGCGCAAGAATGCGTCGCGAACCACAGCCGGAAGTGAATCTACTGCATCGTTCATGTAAGCGAGATTCGTGTAGGATTTGGGGAGGGTTGCCAAATATGGACCCCAGATGGATGAATGACCCTGTATCCTTTCGAAAAGGAGGAAAGCACAAAGTTTAAGCGCAGCAGGAAGTTCCTTCACCATACCACCGATGGGGGATCGATCGACAGTTCCAGGCACGATTATGCACTCGGCCGGGATGCTTACGATCGTACTTCCACCATCGATCGATGTGATGGCTTGCAAGCCTCTTCCAGTCGTGGGGAAGCGGGCAGCTTTCAATCGCACGTCTTCCGACCAACCTCGTTCCCGTAACCAGACTCGTAGTCTTTCCATCTCCTAACAAAGAAAAAAAAAAAAGGTCGGGGGAAATTTACTTGCTATTGGACTCAGACTAGGAAACACTTTTATTTTCTCAATTTCCAGTTTTTTCCTAGCGTCACCGAAACTTGACGCTTAAAATAAGCAAGATGGGTTTTGGGTTGCATCTAACTGAATCAACTGAAGCGTAAACCGAAATTGAACAGGACACCCACATCTGTAACTGAAACTACATACTGTCGACGATCTGACAATAAGACGATTACTTAATTTTAAACTTTTATAAAGTGAAAGAATTCGCCATTTTTTCATACTGAAGAATGGTAATTGATGAATGTAAGCCTTTATAACATAAGACTCAATTTAATGGTGGTAAATCAAATATTTTTCAATTCTAATTCTACAGTAAAAAAAAGGGCATTCCAATCGTGAAAAATATTGAAGAACAAAGCAGGAAAAAGGTGAAACTACTGCATAGTTGCAGCTTGGTGACCACTTTCGGGAGCATCTGCCATGACCCCCAAGTCCACTTCGGACATGGTCCTTTACTGTGTTTAACCATGATTTCCTTTACTTCGGTAGCACCACTAAAACTAAAACTACGAAAATATTGATTGATAAACTGAGATTTCTTCAGTACTGCAAGCGTAAGTTAAACTGAATCAAGAGCTTTCTGAAAAGCGGAAAAATCAAGCAAAAAAGCAATTTACAAAAAACTGAAATTGAAATCCTTTTCCCAATCAGTCGATTTCACTCACATGATCGGTTGATTGTCCTCTCTTCCTGCGGCCTCGCTGACGTCCAGCTCTGCCAAGCCTCATCTGTCTCTATCCAAGCATTGGTAACTCAATAGTTTGATCACTAAAGTCAGGACCAGCCTTTGACATGTGCCCCCGCACTGGGCGCAAATTCACCAGGGGTGCCAAAACATGACTGAATGGATGAAGCAATAAAGGATGCCAGCCTCAGTTTTACTTCAGAGTGGAAGTCCATCCTATCAAAATGTGTGTGTGTTTAACTCCTTAGTCAATTCGGACCCAAACTGAGATTGAAGGTGCGCTACTAAGTCAAATTTAACAAATGCGCATGATTTATTGTACAGGGTGGCCCCCAAAAAGCCAATTTCGATTTTCTGCAAAACTGCTGAGAAATAAAAGAACTTGCTATTTATTGACAACTGCAATTGACTGGATGATTGCATGGCACATTCTCAATCACTAATTTGAAAATTTTGCTAAATTCACTGACTAATTGGCAAAATAATAAAAAAAAACGATCAAGTGTTCGATCCAGCGACCGTACTTCTTAATTAACGGGTTTTTGGGCCACCCTGTTCAATCAATGGGGAAAATATAGGGTGATTTTAAAAAAAAAAAAACAGCTCTACTGTTTTCTATGGGAGAAACACAGTTTCATAAATGCAACAAAAAAATTTACACTGGATACACGATCGATATTTGATAGTTTCAAGGTGTTGAAATGCATGCCAGCTTTTTTTCAGCACCCCTGCCTAAATTGTGCAATGCCCATTTAGAGGTGAATTTAAGGTGCTTAGAGGAGATTCCACCTTAAGAGAATTGTGCTCGAACGGGTTCGAACTACTCCAAACACTACTTGACCGAAAACCGAGCGATTGTCGAACTCCGACAGCAAACTGTTGACTGTGTCGTACCCCACTGAACGCTGTCCACTGCCCATTTTCTCGCCCGACCGTCGACTCGAGACTCATAACTGCGACAGGGCAGGACGAGGGCAAGGAAAGGAAAATGGACAGCTATTGCCATTCAGCGTGGGAACTGGGGACTCTCCCCCCTCCACTCGTTAAATCATAGCAGGACATGAGGAGTACTCCACATTATAAGGGTATTTTCCATCAGTTCCTGTTTAACAACAAAACAGGTGAGATACTGTTAGAATAATAAAGAACTGGGCAACGAAAATGTCTGGGATGCTTCATCTGCAGCTGCCCATACAATTCAAGACATCATGGGATATATAGGGTGTTTCAAAAAAGACGCTCCACCATCGGCGTAGCCAGGATTTCGCCAATGAGGGGGCACATGTCAAAGGCTGGTCCTGACTTTAGTGATCAAACTATTGAGTTACCAATGCTTGGATAGAGACAGATGAGGCTTGGCAGAGCTGGACGTCAGCGAGGCCGCAGGAAGAGAGGACAATCAACCGATCATGTGAGTGAAATCGACTGATTNGGGGGGGGGGGGGGGGGGGGGGGGGGGGGGGGGGGGGGGGGGGGGGGGGGGGGGGGGGGGGAGGCTGAAGCCCCCCTCGCTACGCCACTGCGCTCCACTCATTCCCATAGGGGAAAAAAATCAGACTAGGGTTTATTCTGGCTCCTGCCCATTTTCTTAAGAACATCTTAAGAATGATGCAGAGAAGGCTTAATCTCAAGCAGATTAATGTAGTCTGTGAGTCATTGATAAAATGTGAGATTGTGTTAGATTCTTCTTCGTATTAGATTCATTGCAAAGAATGAGGATTAGTTCAACCCCGTTAGAGTAATACACATTTTACCCGAGACTCTGATGTGAAACATTCAAATCTTTCCTCACATTATTCTTCCCTTCGGATGCTGGACTGAACATGCATTGAGCATTGCAAAGCGATTACAAATTTTGAACTATTGGAGCAATGAACCTGTCTCTTCCTGATCCCTCCAGAGTACCTGCTCAACCTACAGTTCTAGGAGCACAGAATTCATTTTTAATTTAAATTCAAAATATATTTTATTCAGTTAACAATTAGGAAGGTTCAATTTGAGTATGGTTTAGCTTTCCAAAGACTGATCCTGCCCAGTATCTTAATCATCTTAATTCATCATTTTCAAAAATGCCTGGAAATTAATGGTTAAAATCTGATTTTGCCATTTTAAAGGAATATTCATTCGGATTAAATTGGAATCGCAGAAAAGGTCATATTTATATTTTTATGGATTTTTATTTTCATTAGAATGCCCCTAAAAACAAAATAATTTCACCATAGAAAAAGAATGGAGCGTCTTTTTTTTAAACACCCTATATACAGGATGGGCCAAAAAAAAAAAAAAGCTATAATTTTTGGTAAGTTGCCAATCTAATTGTAGGTTACTGATTCTGATGAAATTTTCTAGCCACATAGGGCGAGTCACCCTATGTGGCTAGCAAATTAGGGTTTGTATGCCAAGTTTCAAATAAAAATTCCAAAAACTATGAGTTTACTTTTCATCACCAAAAAAGGAAGTGTTCATTTTTTCTTTCGACTTAAAATTTTTCACAACTGACAAAAACAAAATGCACAAATGCCAAAAACGAAAGCGCATAATTTGTTTTACGGACGTTCATTTCAATTGAAAAGGTGCTCAATGTGTCCTCCATTCTGTTGAATTCAAGCCTCTGGTCTGGGACACCACAGATCAATGGCTCAGTCAATAAATCTTTGAGGCAGTGCCTCCCAATCTTCCTTTGTAGCATCATGCAGGGATGGAAGTTCATGAATTCGGTCCTCCCTTTCATCCCGGCCCTAAGTTCTTATCGATATTTTCGACAGCACATTTTGTCGTTGATCATCAGAAAATAATTACAGCTCCTATAAATTTAGAGCCAGAAGGCTGAAATTTGGTATACAAACTCCAATTGTGTCACCCTATAAGCCTACCAATTTTAATCAGAATAGGCAGCCTACAAAGAGATTAACGACTCACCAAAAATGACAGCTGTTTTTTTTGGCCCACCCTGTATATTCTTGCATCCCGTATTCAGATACCTGGACTTTTGAATTTCTACGTTTTATTCACGGATAGGGGCCCAAAGCCAATTCGCCGCCAAAGGAGCGATAGAGTGAAGGTTTCCACTCCTTCCCTCACAAACCCATGCACCCGAATGAAATACAGTACTCTTCCATTGAAAGAGTAAATATTACAGCACTACAGAGAATTCGATGTGCAGGCTTTTACCGTGCAGGCTTGGACGCCCTTGTTAAACGCGGAAGAAAATGCGTAGAACATGACGGAGCTAAAACAGAAAAATAGGACATGCAGGGGTAACATGGCTTAACACTTATACTCAGTTTGAACCTTATATCAGTAACGGTTAGCTTGAAACAAATTCCGTGACACTACTTTTAGAAACCCCCTCGTACGTGTCGTCCACATCGACAATATGTCCTCTAACTCAGCGGTTCCCAAACTGTGGATCGCGACAGGCATCAAGGTGGGTAGGGTACATTCTCCCAGTATTAAAAAAAAATCACTACATCTACATCCGCTTCGGATAAAACATGCCCTGCAGAAAAGGGCGATCAGTTTTCTTCACGTCATAATTACTTTGAAAATACCTCATTCTGGATTCCGGTGGGTCGCGATTTAAAGAAGTCTGGGAACCGCTGCCCTAACTAAACGAACACTGATCATGTCGTGCAATAGCGAGGAGATTGCGCGCATCTATCAAGAACAAACGCAGAAGGTTGAGGAAAGGGGTCCTCATTTCGAATGACAAGGCGTAAGCTCTCACGCCGCCTTACTAACCCAATCTAGTACGCAGTGACTTCGTGTTTCGACATCTGAAGGAAAATCTGCGAGGAAGAGATTTTTGGGGCAACAATGAGGTGAAGTGCGAAAATAATGGGTTGTCGAAAGAGTGATCCAAGTGCGACACAGAGACGCAAAGGGGCGATGGGAAACGTGCTGTTATTAAGGGTGACTATGTTGGAAAATCATGTAACAATTCTAGACAATTCACATTATAATCAGGTTGAGAACTAATTGGGCACCCCTCGTCCGTACGAGACGACACGAGAAACCAAAAAAGACACTGATACAACCGAGTGCAGTGAAGAATAAACTAGAATGCTAGGACAAGCAATATGGAAATACTGTAATTTCAAATGATATAGGTCACCTGGGCTCCTGCATTGAACATCAGCAGGACAGGACTCGCACATCCACTATCCCAGCATCACAAAGGTTGCAAAAAGCATCATCGGCATAATAATGAAAACCAGCGAACTCATATTTCAATCACTGCTGATAGAAAAGGTTTGCTAGAGGAATGGGATTTTTTATTCATCACAATCAAAAAAGTTGCTGGCTTTCCTGGGTCCTGCTTGTACTTTTTCCTTTCCCCCACTCCCTTGCTATCCTGGACAGAGCCTCAACGAAGATTACTTAAGGACTTATTAGTACACAAGGGGACAAGTCAATATTTGATGGAGATTGCCATCTGGAATATCAGGTCCTTTGATAAGAGCAAAAAAACTCCACAAGTGGATTCAAAAGGCATCCCAATTTCATATAATGACTTAATAACAATGTCTTAGCTTCCCACAAATGAATTCAACTTCTTTGACTTTTGAGGTAATCAATGTCAGATGTGGTGAAGTAATATAAACTGTTAAAGATTACTTTGCAACGCTGACAGGACTTCCATTTGATACATTAAATTTGCAACTCCAATTGAATCATAATCCATAACATTACAAGTCAAAAGGAAGTTATTTTTTTTTTACAATATATTACAAAAGCAGGAGGCTACCATTGTCAGAGTGCAATTTCATGATACACTCTCAATCAGCAATCCCATGTTATCCAAAAGAAAATGAATTCGGGAGTGTCACAGCAAATCAATTATTTCATATGCATACTAGCAATGTTGATCTTATAAACTTCTTCCCTTTCTTAACCCTTTGGCATCAGAGGAGGTGGTGCTTAACCATCCCCACAGGCGGCTAAATCAACTCCCCGCCCCTGGATTTGCAAAATAGTAATTGGAATTAATAGAATATACAATTGCAAGAGGTGCCAGAAACCTCCAGATAAAATTTTGGGGAAAGCCCTTATATGTGATGAATTTGATAAAACTCACGTAAATACACATCAACCACACTAACATAGGCTGACGTGTATATGCGTCAACCGACGCTTAATCAAGAGAGGAAAGTACGAGTCTTGAACAAAGGAAATATAGAAGAAAAAATAGCAAAAAAAAAGCCAGGATTCCCTATGCACTGACCTAGGTCAGTGGAAGGTAATTAGGGGAGGGCAATCTAAGGAGACACCAGTGTCCCCATGCAGGCACGTGAGACTTCCTCCAGGCCATGCTCCATCTGTTCTCCCCTCATGACTTTGTTCTTGTTCACTCATATAAACATTACTAAAGTTCTTATTTTCTCCCAAATCATGTCAGTCCCTGACATTAAACCATATGATTCTTCTGCATCATCTGTGCATGGTCATCATACTATCTGGGGCATAGATATTACTCTGATAAGTCTAGGGCTTCATTTAAAAAATGAGCCCTGACAAGCCTCATCCAACTGCTGCCAAATATAGGCAGGTGAAGTGGTGAAATGTGGTGTAGGTAAACAGAAACAGATAGGCAAATGCTGAATCCAAAATGAATTGTTCAACAGTATCTATAAAAAGTAAAAAGAAGTGGATGAAAATTTTGACAGTCCAAGGACTGTCAAAAATATAAAAACATACTATATGGAAATCAATTATGACTTTTATACAGCCAAAGGCTGAGAATCTGTGATTTTTCCCACAGATTAGATCAAGTGATTTTTCAAGGAAAAGGATTAAACCTTCCTAGAATTGAGAGACTTAATCACTTTTAAGCAGACTGGTATGAAATGGAGTCATGTTGTTTCACATTTGAGACATCAAAGGGAATGATTTTCTTGGTAAATGACCAACTGTTACATGAATGAAAGAACAGGATTTTCTACGAAATTCATAGACACATCATATTGTTTTTTGAGTTTCATCGAATCTTAGTATGAGAAAATGTACTTATACAGACTACATTACATTTCAAGTAAGCACAAATATAAATGTAAAAATTCAAGGTCGATAAAAAATGAACTCTCCATTTTGCATTATCTTTACTTTATCTTTTCATAAACCTGTTCCTGAAGATAGGATGTTGAAACGATGCAATGTACAGGGTGGCGCAAAAGTCGCACACCAAAGAGGATTTCACCGTTTCACTAATTAATTCTTGATTCTTCATTTGCAAGTAACTGATGGCAGCAAAAGACGAGAGGGTGGAGTTAAGATATGTACAAATGTTATGTGTACAATGAAATCAAAGTGTTTTCAAGTCAATGGCAAACGATTAGAACATTTCCTCTAATTAAACCCTATGGTATGCGACTTTTGCACCACCCTGTACAATGTTTTGAGTATCTCCCAAGATCATATTATCAATATGAAGCTTGTTTGAATGCCCAGTAGGAAGTTACTCCCCATAAAATGAAAACAAAGGAGATATATTGCATAGATTCAACACTGGTCCATCTGGAGGAACAACATGTCACATGTGTGACCCTGCAGTAGCAAACATGTTATGGTCAACTTCATTTTGACTAATACTTAGGATCCAGAATATACAAGATTTAGCATCAGAATTAAAAAATTATCACAGAATCAGTGGCACAAGAACAAGCAGGTTCATTATCTCAACCACTCTGAAAAAGGCAGCACATTTAAAAATGGGAAAATAAAAAAAGCTATTTCAGGATCCAGTTGTCCACTATGATGGCAGGGTGAGTTTTTCCACAACTTCTTTCACAAGTGTCAGGTGAGGCCAGACTTGGTTTGGGTCTCTCCACACTGTTGGAGGCACCTGCATGAAGTAAACCCCATTGCTGTATAGTTGATAACCTGAATCCTTGTGCAAACAGTAGAGTGTCAAAGAGCAATGAGATTCATAAGATGAGTGTCACTGCTGATGGTGACAAATGAGAGCAATAATGTTGATGAAGGGGAATTTTTGCAGAAATAAACTTGGAAAAAGAAACTATTCTGAACTCAACTTCTTCCCTTTTTAGGACCTTCCTACCCCCTCCATAAAATATGGAGTCGCTCAGTCAACTGAAAGTGCTAATTTCCTTCTTGGTGATCTTCCAAGGCAACAGGCAATGCCACTGCACATGGATTCAGGATACAGATGATACGAGCCACCCAGTAATTACACCCCGAAGCACCATATGTAAATTTGTTTTTAAAGATTTTGTCTAAGATTTGAATTACCGATTGGAAATGGGACGAAACTATTCCGTCGGCGGCACGGACCAGNGGGAAAAAGATTTTCATGCAATGAAGAGCTGAAAGTTTCCGTTTCTGATTGGTTTGATGGACAAGAAGTTGACTTCTATTCCCAGGGAATAAAATCCTTGGAATCAAAGTGGAATAAGTGTGTTGAGTTAAAAGATGACTACTTTGAAAAATAAAGTGTTATTTTTCCCCTCAGATGTTTCTTTCTTATTCAGGTAGATAACTTATTGAGTGACCCTCATATCATTTTCTCCTGAGATGGTTTCTAAGGTGGGCCTTTTTTCTAAAGAGGGATGGGATGACTTCACTGACAGTTCTGTCCTGCCTACAAAAATCTGCATGTTACCCACTGATGTTGTCTGATGATAAAAGAGACTGCCTTATCACAGTGAAAATAGAAATACAAACGCAAAGGGCAAGATATAGCCTTTAATGAAATTTGGGCCCAAAACAGACCTTCTATCATTGTCATCAGTGCGTCTCCAGCAATTGATGGTGAGCAAGGAGCTGAATGTTGGAACAGAAGCTATAACACCTCTAAATTTGTGAATTTAACCCTGAACTATCCATCATCCTCCTCCTTAACACTTTGAGCCCTGGCAATTTGAATGCGCAATGTATAACATCATATGATGGATGCAGGGATAAAAGTGTTAAACTTCAATGCAGCCCAAGCAGTTGAATGATGAAATGGATGTAATAGAATTTCCCACTTCTTCCTGGGGCCTTCTGGCTCAGCAATACTCTTCAATACTGAAAGTCATAATTCCAAGCCTTTCTGGACTCATTGTATTTATATATTTACTACAACGCAGCCTTTTAATGGTCCCAGCCAATCTGCCAGGCATTTTTAATATTTTTCTGAAATTTTCGGAGCTAAGAACCTTGAAGAGTGAGGTCAAACCATAGACAAGACTACCTGTCACCCCTGACAGAGCAGCAAATGTTTGATCTAGATCAAGTTAACATGAAGTTGGCAGATTAATATGATATTTTCAGAATGCCTCAAGTCATCCATTTTCTGAATGCCTCAAGTCATCCAGGGCAGTGAATATTAATAAATAAGATATATCCAATCAAGAAAAGAATTGTGGAGATCAAAGTTCAAAATTTGATGGTGTTTGATTCAAGATGGAGACAAAATAAACCTATTTGTAGCAGAATGAAGAACACTAAAGTCTTGGGCTTGCCCAACTTTTTCAAACTGCTACTGTTGAGAAAGGAGGTACCTGAATGTTACTCATGGGATCTTCTCGGACTGAGGACTCCCTGAGGATGTAATCAGACCCAGATGGATAATAAAGCCGGGTGTCACGCACTCGAATAAGGACATGGTCTACTCGGAGGTAGAACCGGAGGAGGGCAAACCACCCAGAGGCCATCACCCTCTGCAAAAATCCATCACATCCTCATGTTACCATGTGCAACAAAATCTTTGGATAAAACAATTGCAATGATGCATACAATTTTAACTGTGCAAAGGGCACAGCCATTGTCAGCCAACTCATCTTCATAGAGGTGGATCTCATCATAGAAGAGAATGGGTTCCTTCAGCTTCAGTTTCTCCATGTCAATCTTCTCTGAGGTTGGCACAAAAGATGTCATCAAGGGCCCAAGTTTAAGTGTTCCCAAGTAATCAGTGCTGTATGTCCAATCGAAGGGTTTAACTATTTGGTGTTCCTCAAGGTCTTCCTGCCTGAGGAGAAAGACTCATCTTATAATAGTTCTGACATGGAAGTAAGGGAGTACCTGACTGTGAGGTGCATTATATTTTGCAGTTTTGCAGCATGCAAGTGAGTTAGAATTACAATAATCACATACAATATTGACATTTCTAATAGTCTACAAATGTTTCCTCCAATAGAAATACTGAGATGCCACAATATATTGAAGCCATTACTGGTGAAACAATATTTTTCTCAAGTTAGACATTCATCTGCATGAATGTCTAACTACTAATGCAATAAAGGTGTGGAAAAAGCAGAGAGTAATTGAGGAGTTCCCTGGAAAAAGGGCATATGTGCAAAAGATGCAATTCCAGATAAATGGCAAAACTTGCCACAGCTGACCAAAACTCAGTTTTCAGTCAAGTGGAATATTAGACCTTTTTCCAATTGAACTTGGGGTTTTAACAAATTTCGTTACCTCACATTGCTAAGTTGCAGCCATGAAGTCTTAATGCACATAAGCTCTTTTTCCATATCTGTCATGCTGGGACTTTTTTCAATCAGTCTTTCACCACTTCTTTCCACTTAAATATTATAATTTATTGAGAAATACATATACAAATTTTGATTCAACTCTCCCTCAAAGAATGGCAATAGAAGGGTGAATATTCAGTACAAGTTTCATTCACCAATTACTCATCAGTAATCCATTGTTAATGTATTCATCATATGAATCTCCAACTGTTTCAAGGATTTTGCCTACTTCTCCAGAGGCTTGAAAGACTGGGCCACTTACTTCCCCTTTCCTCCTGTCTGGCTACTTCCTCATTCTCACTTTCAGTTCCAAAGAATGGATTTATTCCACCAAAATCGCTCAGTGATGCAGATGCTAATAGAATATTCAAGAAGGCAGCCATAATGAAATAGTCAGGAAGTTGGCCTGCTATACAGGATGTTTGTATTTAAACACAACATAGGGAAATTTTTGTTGCTTGTTTGTGGAGTTCAGCATGTTCCTTATAGCTCAACAGGTTGCATATCTAGAAGGATGAAATCTATCCTTGGTGTGCTTCCTGGCAGATATGAACCCAGTGGGCCTTATAGTGTTCGCTGAACTACATCTACAGGTGGTAAACATTCCCTATGTTGCGTTTAAATACGAACACCATGTATCTTGAAAGCATAGGAAAATCTGCTTCTCCTTTGCTGAATATGTCATGTTCTCGTTGCCCCCTGATGCTCTTTCTTTCACCCCTTTTCGCCCTCGCCATGGGGCATGTACCAGCCCCTTCACCTTGGCTCGGAGAACTACTTTCTCCATCCAGACTTGCCCTTAAAAGG